GTGAGAATAATGAAAAGACAGAATTAAACCGAAAATCCTTAAACGAATTGAGCAATTAAAACTGCAAGGAAAACTGCACGGCATCACCCTTCATGCTTTTATTCTCAAACTTACCAAATAATAAATAAGACTACATGGCATCACCCTTCGTGCTTTTATTCTCTTCCTCACAATATAAATAATTCATGCACGACATCACCCTTCGTGCTTTACACTCTTCCTCACAATATAAATAAATCATGCACGGCATCACCCTTCGTGCTTTTACACTTTTCCTCACAATATAAATAAATCATGCACAGCATCACCCTTCGTGCTTTACACTCTTTCTCACAATTCACAGAATCAATAACAACGGATAGAGAGAAGTTTAACAAAGAAATCAATATTTCATCAATGATTACTTTCACAATTTAACATCTCAACCTCGAATCAATATTCACAATTTTATCAACCTTGGTGGAACCGGATACAAGTCTCCCAACATTTCAACAACAACAATAAGCATGGATAACAAGATTTAAGACTACAAATTTGCAAGAATAAAATTTCACTCGCATGCTATGACTCGATTACAATGCATAGATGCTCGTTACCTCAACTATACATTGTATTCAACAACAAAACACGTAGCAAATACTCACACAATACCTATTCCCTCAAGCCAAAGTTAGACACTATACTTACCTTGCTCCGAAGGCCACTTAATTCTCAATCACAGCTTTTTCTTTGGAATTCACCTCCAAACCACTCGTATCTATTCAAAAATGACTCAATAATATCAAATATTGCTAAAGGAATCAATTATATTTCATAAATTTAAATTTTCTAAATTTTTCTCTAAAAAGTCGAAAAATCGACCCCTGGCCCGCTTGGTCAAAACCTGAGGTTCGGACCAAAATCATTTTACCCATTCACCCCCGAGCCCGAATATGTAATTAGTTTTGGAATCCGGCCTCAAATTGGGGTCTAAATCCTCAAATTTCTGAAATCCCTAGTTTTTACCCTAAACCCTAATTCTACCATGAAAACTTTAGATTTTTGGTTGAAAATTCAAGAAATGTAATGGGTAATTGAAAGAAAATGGTTTAGAATCACTTACCAACAATTTGGGGAAGAAATGGCTCTTGAAAAATCGCCTCTCACCATTTGATTTTTGAGAAAATAAATTTTTGGCTAAAATTCCATTTTTGAATTCTGTTAAGTGCTAGGCGACAGTGTTCATCGCGTTCGCGAGAGCACTGTCGCGTTCGCGATGGGTACTGGCTGCCAAGCCTACACGTTCGTGAGACCTAACTCGTGTTCGCGATGGTTACTCCCCCCTGACCTTCGCGTTCGCGAGGCATTGCTCGCGTTCGCGATGAAAGAACGGCTGACTCCCCCTCCCTAATGCCTAACACTACGCGTTTACGATGGGCTTGTCGCGTTCGCGAAGGGTAACGCCCCCATCGCTTCGCGTTTGCGACCAAGCCTTCGCGTTCGCGAAGAAGAAATCTTCCGCTGCCCAGTTTACTCTTCGCGTTCGCGAGAGTACTTTTGCGAACGCGAAGAAGGACATGCCAGAACACCTGCTACAGCAAAATACCAGATTTCCAAAGTCCAAAACATCTCGTGGCCTATCTGAAACTCACCCGAGCCCTTGGGGCTCCAAACCAAACATGCACACAAGTCTAAAAATATCATACGAACTGGCTCGCGTGATCAAATCGCCAAAATAACACCCAAAACTACGAATTTAGCACCAAATCAAATGAAATTCTCAAGAACACTTTAAAAATTCTATTTTCTCAACTGGGCGTCCGAATTACGTCAAATCAACTCCGTTTCTCACCAAATTTCACAGACAAGTCTTAAATATCATAATGAACCTGTACCGGGCTCCGAAACCAGATTACGGACCCGATACTAACAATGCCAAATATCAATCAATTCTTAAAAATAATTAATTTTTCAGACTTTTAATTTTCATCAAAAATTCATAACTTGAGCTAGGGACCTCCGAATTATATTTCGGGCATACGCCAGGTCCCATAATTCGATACGAACCCACCGGGACCGTTAAAAACGGATTCGGACTCGTTTACCAAAAATATTGACCGAAGACAACTAAAATCAACTTTTAAGGCATAAATTCTTATTTTCATCAATTTTCAACGTAAAAGCTTTTCGGAAACCTACCCGGACTGCGCACACAAATCGAGGAGGGTAAAAATGAGATTTTTAAGGCTTAAGAGCGCAGATTCGAGTTCTAAAGCATAAGATGACCTCTTGGGTCATCACATTTATATATATATTTGGACCTATATAATTAATCTAATTATATTAATCCATAATATTTAGTTGGACTAACATATTTAATATATAGTCCAAATTATTTTATTAAGTTTAAATCCAATAAATTTTGTATGGCTACAACTTCATAACCTCCAATTATTTAATTTGTTATAAATTGCATCTTGGGTTGTGACTTTTGAAATCCGTAACCCCTATTTGTTTAATGTGTTATAGTAAATTGCATCTTTTCTTCTTTTTTTTACTCACTCAGCGTCAACTCTGTGTTACACTTCAGTTTTATTTTTATTGATGAAGAAATAAGTTCTCCTCCTCCGTTACTATTTTTTGGGTATTTTTTACTCTCCTCTTCAATTTTCATTTTCTGCTGCTTGAGTTTTCTTTACTTGGTTGCTTTGTGCGTATGAAAAATATTGGAGTACTAAATAGAAAATTAAAGTAGAGAGTAGCAAAATCAAAAGTTGAGTGTGTGAAAAAAAAAATTGATCCTACAAGGCCAATATGCCAGCAACAATTTTATTGCCTCAACATCAACCTCCGACACCCTATCAATGTGGCTGACTTTATATTTCAAGTTTTTTGTTTTGTGTTAATGCCTTTATTTTACACACACACACACACACANGATTCTGTTTTTTCTTTTTTCCTTTAAATTATTACATTAAGGTATTTTTTGGGTGGAAAGTACTAATTATATGCCAATGATATGGGTAATTATTAATGAATTGCCTCACAAAATGTAAGAGTACCGGGTAAATGCATAAACAAACGCAATAATGTGCTTATGTGCGTTGTTGTGTCATATGAATGAATAGAAAGTTAAAAACTTTCTTACTTATGATTTTATCGATTTACAAGATCAATTTTTCCGTCTAAAGGTACAATTATCTTATCATTTATGGTTTTAATGGTTGTTTGGTATTTGGTAGCTTTTACTTTGGTAATTTTTCGCAAAAGAAAAAGGTGAATATTTCTATCATGCAGGAGAAATAAATAAATGTATAAAGGAATAGTATATGTGAGAGAATACGACATCGTTAGAAAATGATTCATTTTTATTACAATTTTAGAAAACTTAAAAAGACATTACTATGTGTTAATGAAATAGGATAAGGATGTACGGAAAATCGCTAGAAATCAATAGATGGTTAAAAATATAACTGATGGACCACAAGGTGGCGTAACATCTCTCTTAAAAGAAACAATTTTCGTTTCTTTTTTCTCCCTCTTTCAAGGCACCTCTAGCATTACTACGAAAAGTAAAAATTTATTTCAACAGAAACAACTATGCATTTTGTGAATCATTTAATCTAGTGGTATTGTATTTCCTTTCTATCAATTGAATTGAATAGTTCCAAATCATCTTATACTTAATTATAAAAAAAAAATCAGATTCAATTACAAAATAATAATAATAAAAGAATGCGTTAATTAATAATTTTTTCGTGAAAAGAAAAAAAGGAATAGTGCAATAAATTTTGAAAGCAACAATAGGTTTGGGAAGGAATGTATTACTACTCACTAACACCTATATGCATATAAGATTTCTCATGTTAAAAAATTAATCGAGGCAATCTATGCAATGTCAATCGTCCTTGCCATTTTTGTATTTAAGGGTTTAATGAAATTAATATTAGTTGTTTCTTTTTTATTGTCTAAAGAAAGCTTAGTGGAGGATCTATTGACATATTTTCAAGTCTCATTGTTTGGCTTAAGTAATTAGTGAAGTTCATGATCAACTATCAGACAATAATTATCTCTTTAGGATAACAAAATTAGCTTTAAAATTGATGATATGGAATATTTTGGAGCTAATTAGAAAAAATATATTTATAAAGAAATATATACACATGAAAAATTAATCTATTCTATCTCGGGTAAATTTATAATTAGATTATATTACAATTTAATTTTTTCTTTTATAATTGTGCGAAGAGCGGATAAATTTATTAATTTGGTATAAATATGGAATTAAAATAATATTTAGAAGTTATTATTAGCTAGTTGGTTGGTTTGCCATAACGGGATTAGTTTTCCCTAATGTTCTATTTCGGATTCTAAAGATGTATTTCCACCCTTCCTCTTCTATCCTCTTTCTTACTAGTTACCACTTATCACTACTTGAGCCACCTCTAGTGCAAAATTAATGAGTATTAAAGTATGTATTTTGAAGAGTGCCTACTTAGAAGTTATTATTAGGTAGGAATGCTTTAGCGGTAAGCAACCTCAAGTGGCTTGAGTTTATGGAAAACAGCAGTATAGGGTATGTGTACACTGGGTTGTTGTTGTTGTTGCCTACTTAGTTTCTAGGGCTGAGGTGTGAATCCGGTGAAATTCAAAGACACGTCCTACGAGGGCGGCGTCAAATTCGTGAGTCCTGTTACTGGTACGGAACGGTGGCTTGTTTGAGCAGTCTGCGCGAGCCGCACCTTCCTTCATTCAGCTTCACTTTCGGCGCTCGGTTCTCTTTTGTATTCATTCTCTTAAAAGACAGTTACACTTTCCCAGTTTTTTCTGCTCTATCAATCGACTTGTTCCGTCACTCGCGTATTCCGTTGGTGTTTGCATTCGTGTTTACATTATAATCAATTGAACAATCTTCATTCTTCACTTTGTTGATAATCGTGCATTGAATCGATCATGAAAGCTAGGTTAGTAGTGTTTCCAATCAGAGGAAGGAACTGGTGCTTCAGCCGAGCGATCGAGTCATCACAATCGGAAGCTCAGTCTTCAAATACTCCTTCTACATTCAAAGACCTTTGGAAGAAGATCTCCAAATCTACTCATGACTCCTCCAAAGCTAATCTCGAACTCGTCATTGATTTCGCCTCCAATAAGGTCCTAGTACTTTTCATGCCTTCATTTTATTTTATTTTTTAAAACTTGTATTTTGGTTGAAATTACATTTTAAGTTGAGGTGATGAAATGGTTGCAATGTTTGTTAATGTGTTTAGATGAATAGAGCTTGGAGTAATTTGGAAAAAGCGCCGGAAGGAAGTTTAAAGAATAAACTTCACGGGTAATTTCTAGCTTTTCTTCCATAAGAAGTACTGCACTATAACCGAAGATACTGAAACTAATTAGATAAGTGGTGATATTAGGCTAGGATTGCGGCTTCTCTCTCGTGTTAAGCCTTCGGAGATCTTTTTGAAATCCATTCCTAAGGAGGTAACGCATGTGGACATTACCTATCCCTCAAGGTCTGTGCCTCTCTCTCCTTTTTTTTTTTTTGAATTTATAGAGTTGGAGCTTGATTTGTGTGGTGCAGGATTTTTTCTGTGTAATGCAAGTGTTCCTTTGAGTCATAGAGAAACCTGAGTAATTGTAGATCCTATTTTTTTGTATTAATGAGTATATAAAAAGACAGTGTCGGTACTTGAATTCAAAGTTAAACAAGTGTGATATCGAGACTCAACCTCCTTTTTAAATTTGTTAAGAGAACTGTAACTCTTCTTAGCTTGACATGAGCAAGTAAATATAAAAGTTTAATTGGTCGGAGTTGACTAGCAGAGAATGAAAGTAGTAGTATTCCATCAATTATACGGGCCAGAGACTATCTTATCCCTAAGTTATCATGTCATTTCATGGCCTTATAGAATGGGAGTTATTTGGAGAAAGATGGCTTTATATACTTTTATTGAATAAAATTGGAGATAATTTGTTTGGCTTCGATATCTCTGATTTCACTTTGAAAAGTTGATTAAATTTATATCCACATTCACAATATCATTCACATTTCTTATCCATAGCATTGCTCGAATTTCTTCAATTTTATGTACCATGTTTTATCTTTTATCTCTTGGATTACGCGTGCTTAAACGAAAAGGAGGAAAGTCACATTACATGAGCACCTCTACCTTTAGTTTCTATATTATCCAGCTGTTTGCTCCAATGATGTCTTTCATTCTGCACAGTTTAAACGGACGGCTTGTTCGACGGAGGCTACGCCATATTGCCTCGAGGTAGGGTATAAAATGCTTCTTTCTTTAGTTGCTGTTTTTATGCTTCTTTGCACAGAGTCATTTGTTGTTTGTTTAAATCTAGCTCCTTCATATTTTCCCTTTATCAGAAGGTCTTGTAATTATGCTATTCAATCCATGTTGCATCCTCTTTCATGATATCTCTTACACCAATCTAAAGAAGCTTCTATTTTTACTTGGGATATCATATGTTCTAAACCTAGGGCATTTATCTCTTGTTTCTGGAACTCTTGTTTTGGCTGGCCTCTATCAGTGTAACAGAAGATTTATCATTGATTTCTACAGTTTATGATTTCTGGCAATTTTGAGTGCAAGCCAATTAGCAATGAACCGGAAGATCATGACTTAATCCTTGAACACAAAATTGACTGTTTTTTAATCTTGCACTTAGAAAAGAAAACAGTTTTACTTAATAAAAAAACAATTTTAATCCCTCTATCCCAATTTATCTGATCCTCTTTCCTCTCTGGGCCTTCCCAATTGTTTGACACACTTTATACTTAATAATACTAATGCTACTCCTTTCCGCTCTAACAAAATTCAAGAAGTCAAATTAAACCTCATTATGATGATCCGCTAACTTTGTAATAATACTTCAATATAATCTTCCTTCTTTATATTCTAATATTCTTCCGCATCATTTTATTTCCTTTTCAATTCTTTGAGAATTCTTCCTAGATGTTTCTTTCTTTTTTCTGTCCCACCACTCCTAAAGTTAACAGTTTAGCTCCGATCTTCTTTTTGTGATCATTTTTCTTTTCTTAATGTTTCTAGATAAGTGAGCATTTTAGAAACAAAAGAAGCACCAAGATTGCAGTGGGTACATCAGGATCCTTGCAAGTAATTCAATTTCCATATCCAGGAACCTTCAAAAACTCAGTTCCTACCTACTTTTGCCTGAGAGATAACTGAGAGAATCTAAGAAGCTATCTACACCATATACATTTTCCATGTTGCACCAAAAGGCTAAGAGAGATAAGACATTGACCTGTAGCTTGTGATGTTCTCTCTTTTGCCTTCAAAACATCTGAGATTCCTTTCTTTCCAAATGACCCACCAAATGCTGACTGGTAGGGTTTTCCAAATTTTCTTCCTGCCTTTTCCTGCTCCTTTCCATGTCCAGCAGAAGAGAAGAGATTTTGGCATTGCCCATGTGACACCAAAAATGCTGAGAAGCAAACAGTGAAGGAAGTGGTGATTTGCATCTTCTTCTGCCTTCTCAGACATGTAGCACTTGTTGCAAAAATTCATGCCTCTTTGTTGGAGGTTATGTTGTACCAGAATAGCCTCGTGTGCAAATGTCCAGCAGAAACATGCTTACTTTGTGGGGTGCTTTAGAACTCCAGGTTTGTTTCCAAGGGCATTCTAGTCTTGTACTTTTGGCGGAAGATTGATCCAGCCATTTGTAGCTAGAGTTTATGGTGATAGCCTATCCTTCTGCGATAACCAATTGAGAGAGTCTGAGTTGATGGGTGCACTTTGAAAATTTCCCAATAGTTGCAAGAGTTGGAATATTCTGGCAAGTTCCTAATCATTACTGTTTCTTCTAAAACAAATTTCCCATCCTGTGTATGCAATGCAGTCAGCCACTATAGCATGAGGGTCACAAGAAGCAATTCTTTTAGCCTTTTCTATTTCCTCATACCTTTTCCTGCAAGCCGCCTCTCTTTCTATGTGGTTTCTGCACTACTGCAAATTGTCTACTATATATTCACAGCGGAAAGCAGATGCTTGAATCTCCTGATCCAAAGGGCTCAAATCCTGAATATGATTGGTTGGTATTTAAAAGCTTTTTCTGCTTTGGAGGATCATATTCTAACTACGATTAGAGTATTTTGCATTCATAATCTATACTAGACCAAATGAAGCGAGGGCTTTCAATGGTCATAAAATCACACTTGGGAACTTAATCGTGGTGGTCAGGCAAAAACATTTACACTTCCATTCTTCTCAGATTCTGACGTGAACATCAAATTCATCCACTTGCCTGCAAATGGGTAGCTGTTCTTATTATTTTTGACTCTGGATTCAATAGCTTAAAATAGATCCTGAAGATTGCCTCACTGTTTGAGATACTAATCCTTGAGGATGCGTTTTATTTTACAGAAAAGAAACTTCCTTGTGTTACTGGCATGAATATCTTAAGTAACTATATGTTTTTTCAAAAAACTATACCATTGAATTGTATCTGATTGAAGTCATGCCAAGGGACAATGGAACAAAATCATTTTAACCTTGACCAAGTTACCCAGTCAATTCTCCTCTTTCTGAACCTTGAATGAGTATTTGCTATTTTAACGATGATGCTTTCCTTTACCCCAAAAAAAAAGATGATGCCTTCCTACTTTCTGGATTTTACTTCAGGTGTTGTCAATCAAATTTAATTCAAATACTCTTTCCTTCAATATATATTCATATTAATGCATGATTTTGCTACCAGGGGGGCTATCATCCACAAGAAGTATTTATATGGATCAGTTATATTGCTTCCGCTGACATCAGTTTTCATGGTATTTATACACTATTTATGGAATGTCAAGTCGCTTCTTTAGTTTTTGTTTTCTTTCTGATCATATCGAGATGTAGGTTTTTTCTTACTATGCACCTCTTTTTGATGTGATCCTCTTGATTTGAAGTGTTCTAATTCTCTTGCTTTTCTCAATTATTTCCATGTCATGCAGGTGCTACCCTTGCCTAATATACCATTCTTTTGGGTCTTATTTCGGACATACTCTCACTGGAGAGCTCTTCAGGTGAATAATGTTTAGAACTGATTAGAATGTAGAGAATATTCACATACCTTTCATAGCAGAATAGATGTAAATAGTTCCTCTTTGTAGATTGCTTTGGCAAAAGTAGACATGTATGCACGTGCATACTCATATATGGATCGCAATTATCCATCATGTGATTCCATTTCATTGCACTGCTTTTTTTTTGTATCGGTCCAGTACACTTCCTCCCCTTCCTTCCACTCTTTCAAGTCATTTACTTTTTGAAGTTCAATGTGTGCCCCCTGAAGTTTAATGCGTGCTTACAGACATTCTAGTTATTGATTTTTGTATTTACTATGTTGCTTCAATAATTTGTCTTTCTCTTCTGAAGAGCTCCTGCTTTTTAGGCTGCTAATTACCTTTACGTTTTTTGGATCTTCAGGGAAGTGAAAAACTTCTTCAATTAGTTACAGACGGCTCCTATCACCAGAAGTCAGATGAGGGAATAACAGACACGAGTACAAACACAAAAGATGACCTGCAGAGAACGAACAGCTGTCGTCCACCATGGGTAGAATTTCACTTGATACTCTGCAGAATAATTTGAAATGAGTGCGATGTGTTACTGGGAATATGGCTATGTGCAACATATTCTAATTTATCCATGTTTTTGGAACTTAGCTGGAAAAATTATTAAATTTTCTTTTGTCTTCTTTGTTTTCTGCTGTCCTACATGCATCATTAATCCTATGTACATCACATTCTAATTTGTCCATCTTTTTGGAACTTAACTAGGACAATTACCAAAAATTTATTGCGTTCCTTTGTTTTCTGCTTCCTTAGCAGTTCTTCTTTAGTCACTCTATTGCAGGATATAATGGTATACTTAAATCTGCATCATACACCTTTTTTAGATGTAAAGAATCTTGGTGATGCATGCATCAATTTTCTGCATTATCAAAGTAGTAGTTTTTGAGATGCACACTTTTGCTTCTAAAACCTGATCTTACATTCTCTGCTTCTTCTACTTCTACTAATTATTGAGTTGCTTCTATTCTGTAACATTTATCCTTGTATTGTATACTTGCTTCCATGTTAGTAAAGCATGACATGGCTGGATCATCTTGTAGTTATTGGTTGGAGTCGTTCATTTGTTTATGCTGCTTTTGAAAAATGCCTGCGAAATGCATATTGACTGCGCTCTTGCACTTGCTGGTATTCACAGATATTACTACCATCCGAAGACCTTCAAAAGCTTATTCGATTTGGAGAAGCAAATGATAGTCTAACTGAACCGACCATATCTGATATCTGCCAGAGATTTAGCTTGAACACAATGGATGTTATTAAGTACAAAGATTCACTATAGCTGAATTACACCAATTGCTGCAGTTCGTTCCATATCAATGAAATAACAGTTTATGAGAATTGGAATGATTGGAGCAACTTCTTAGACCCTTGAGGCTATGGGGAACCAAGAAATTTCATATTAGTCTTAGCAAGTTCTTCAGGAATACTCAACAAAATGTTGCTCTCCTGTATTTTTCTGGAGGCTGGGAAGGTGCTCAGCTGGTTCAATTAGCTCTGCCTCTATGCATTTGTTACTTTTTGACTTCTCTGGAACTGGCATAGCAAGAATGACAACATTATGACAAGATATCTGCATCGTTGCCACTGACTAACAAGCATGTTACCTATAAGTTTCCTTGATTCAATTGTGCTTCCTGCAATAATATTTTCCTAGAACTATAGCTTTGGTGTAGTGAACTCGATAGTTGTATCTCTTTATTTTGTTTTAGCAGTTGCTAAGAAGCTTAGTTTCAAAATTGTAGCTTCATGGACCAACCTTTATTAAAGCGTTTAGGCGCTTGACCATGATTGGTAGTTTATGTTCGGCGTTCAGATGTGCATGAAACCAAAGCAATGTCGTTGCAGAACCTGAATGCTCGAGCATCTTTTAAACTTGTCTCATAAGAAATCTTCCTTGAACAAACTTTTAACTTTTGAGAGTAAACCCTTGGCCTTGGACAATCAATGGCACTTAAATTTGAATTAAACAAATATAATGCGATATATCGGGTTTATATGGCCACCTCATGCTAATTTGGAATTGACGCGTATTTGGTCAATTGATTTAAGATATAAACTCAATGCAACCAAGGGTAGGCTGTATGCTTGAAATTATTCATATGAAACTTCACATTAGAATATGAGATGAGAGTGGATTGGCTATATTCGTTGATGACATTCTTATATTTTTATTCTTTTTTTATTTCAATGCTGATATTATGAATGAGTCAACATTTCCGAACTATTGACTGTCCAACTTGAGAACAGACAAATAATGCACCCAAACTTGGTGAACATTGTCCTTTTTGGTTCAAATTTACACAGGGCGAAGACGATGGAATCGGTCCATGGATTTTCTTCATTTTATTTTGCTACATTTGTTATTTCCTTTTATGTTTTTATTATTTATTTTTTATGTTAGGCTTATTGGTAGTTTAATAAATGATTGGCTACAAGAAAAAGTTTAAGTGAATGTATCACAAGTTTTAACAAAGCTATCTTATTTTCTGTTTTCAAATCATTTGATGCATAACTCTTCCATGCCTCTTCTCAAAATTATATCCCCACATTAAACAATGAAGAAGCAAACAAAAGCAAAAAATAAAATAAAAATGAATATAAGAAAACAAGAAAAAAGATATTTTGTTATTCTCTTTAACATTATCTTTACTTTATTATTTCGCAATACTAATAGTTTTATTTATTTTTTCACTTTTCTTACCTTTATAATGTGTAAAAATTTACTTAAAGCAGTGAAAGGAAGTTGGTAAAATTAATTCATGAGCTAATAAAACAGAACATAGCTTTGCAGAGAAGAACAAGTTAATACAGATGGTTCAAAATTTGTCCGATATTACTCCCCAATCATAAATGGTTACACAAAACTTGAAAGAGGGAGGTTTACTTCAAGCTGAAACTTCAGGGGAAGTATATGTAATTTTCTCCTTCTTTTACCATGTTCAGTTGGGCAAGACATTGGACATGGCACAACTTCGAGGATTAGGGCAGTATAGTAGGTAGTGTAGAGTGTTCATAACAATAGTATGAGCACGCAGTCTCGCTTTCTGTTGGTAATAGGTTTCTGTTATTTTCTTTCATTGTTGGCCACCAGTAATCTTGTTGTTTTATCATATTTTTATATGGCTTTTTGGTACTGTCCCTTCTTGTCTATATTTTCATTAATATGCTTCTTATACTTTACGGAGCCGAGGGTCTATTGAAAACAACCTCTCTATCATCACTCTATCATCACAAGGTAGGTGTAAGGTCTGCGTACACACTACCCTCTCCACGGTGTGAGATAATACTGGGTATGTTGTTATTGTTGTAGTTGGGCCCAAAAAGAAAGTGGCCCGTCCAATCTAGGAATGATCTGGGCCTTTTATTTCGTGCTGAATCGGTCGGATATATCCGGCCCAATAAAGCACCCTGCATTTTGACATAAAATGAAGATCTCATTCTGCTGATACCTCCTTTTACTGCTTGTTTCTCAAGAAAAAGGGAATTAAAATACAAATCTCTTTGTTAGAAGAACGAACTCGCATCTGAAATCGATGGCACCCGCAGCAGATATCGAGGATGAGATCAAGGACGAGAAGAACCCTCCCCCACTTGATGAAGATGATATTGCTCTTCTCAAGACTTATGTACTCATTTATAACCCTAATTTTTTTGCATTCTTGATTTTTTCCTGTTTTCTTTGAGTTAATTCTTCATTGATGACTATTGAGATAATATCGCGAATTTTGCAAAATTGTATGAATGCTATACTTTTGTTTTTGTTACTGTGGTTTAGAATTTGATGAACAGTAGAAGAGTTAGGACTCTTTTAGAAGAATTTGATGAACACTATACTTGGACTTGTTAGAAGAGTAGGGAGAGTTGTAGTTGCTATGTTAGTGGCAGATGTTGGACTGTTGCAACTCTGTACCATCTTGGTACCTTTCTAATAAAATCTTACCTTGTCAAAACAAAACAAAAAGAAAACAAAAAAAGAGTTTGATGAACACTAGACCTAGTAACAACATCTAAAGTTATGTTTGGCGTATTAACAGGGGTTGGGGGTTGGTTGGGAATCAGAAAATTTCAATCCTGGGCTGCCTTTGCCTTAACAAGCCCTTGAGCAGTATGTGTGCTCGATTGAGTATGCAGCCATGGAACTGTTAAATCTCTTGTGACTCTCAACCAGATTTGCTCATGGTATAGACTAATTTTTTATGGTCGAGAGGTCCATAATTTTACTTTTATTGTTTATATTTACTCTTTCTTCTTTTTCTTTTTGTGCTGCTTCAGTTTTGTAATTTGCAGCTTAGAATTGATTTAAACTCAAATTCAAGTCCTTTCCAATCACTTGTAGGAATGAAAATCCAGAAATGGTAACTCCACCTAACCATGTGCCTAGTTTGAAGGTGGAAATATACCAGTAAAATTACATCTGCAATTATGAGTTGTCCATTCTTCTGCGAAGTTGGATAGATGCAGCGGTATATGGGTGGCCAATGTGGCTTCCACTGTCCCTTATTTGTTGCTATCTACTTTTGTACTTCTAGTTGGAGATCTTCCACTCCTCTGTAAGGTCCATGTATCTTACTAGCTGATGCCCTTGCAGTTGAGCTAATTTCTGGGAGTTTGGCCGCTTTATGTCACTCTAGTGTACTGAGGGTCTTCTGTTAAGCACGGATAAGCTGCCTTTGGTGAATTGTGCCACTCGTTGGAAAATGGAACTAATTTACTTGTTTGTCTCTTATTTTTTTTGTTTTCTTGGTAAATTATTCTACTCATATTCCTGAGTGGTGTTTTGTCCTTGTTAAGTGTTGCACAATTTGGCACCATTGTGCTGCAACGATACTATCTACCTTAGTTTTGGGCTTGGTTTACTTTTGACGATTCATTATGATTTTAGCTTAGCAAATTTCGTAGTCAGTTTCATCTTTTTCTTAAAAAATTCTTTGTTCCTTTTGCAATGTCCAGATAGCTCAATGGTTGTTTGTTCATTAATATCAACTTTGTACTAAATAACATAATGACTTTGTGCAGGGTTTGGGACCTTACTCCACGAGCATAAAGAAAGCTGAAAAGGAAATCAAAGAAATGGCCAAAAAGATAAATGATTTATGTGGTATGTGTTATGTCTCTTCTTGATTTTGTATTTTATTATGTATGGGGACTTCTTTTTTGACCTTGTTAAACCTTGTGTTTCTTTGTTGCATATTATGATGAACTACATCTTCTTTAATTTACTGTAGGTATTAAGGAGTCTGACACTGGGCTAGCTGCACCAAGTCAATGGGATCTGGTTTCTGATAAACAGATGATGCAGGAGGAGCAACCCCTTCAGGTGTGGTTCTATGGAAAATTGGAAATACTGATCCGTAATTCTTTTACTACTCAAGTACTTTAAAGCTTTAACTGAATTTGTTTTTCTGAGCAGGTTGCTAGATGTACAAAGATAATTAGCCCCAATACTGAAGATGCGAAATATGTGATAAATGTCAAGCAAATTGCAAAGGTATGCATCACGTCTTTCCTATATAGTACTGCGTCCAGTTCTAACTTTGGTGAATGGGGGTACCTAGAAAGACGGTGCTTGCGAAACCAGGTTTACCATTTTCATCTGGAGAAGTGTTCAGAATCAGAATCTATATCTTGGCTATAAAATATGGAATGATTTTATTACCAAGAAATAAGAAGGTTTACGCTTGATTTTCTGAGGTATATAGATAATCAGTATGTTCAAATTTAAACTTGTAAGGAATGTGGTTTCGTTGGATGAAGTAAAGGTGATTTCGTTGCTGGCATCAAGAAGATGCAGAATAATACAAAAGATATGAAAGCAAAAAAAAATAAATTGTTAGCTCAACTACAAAAGACTATTCTAGTACCAGGGAGCTAACAAAGTTCAAAAAGTTGTCAGGAAAATCTATGGTGAGGTAGTGTCAACTATAAAGATACAAAAGACATCTATCCTTGAGGGAATGATTTGCAGTTGATAAGCCTTCAAAACATCTGCTGTTCCTTTCTGACTATACACACCAAAAAATACTAGCGGGAATCATCTTTTAGATTGGCTTGATGGCCTTACCAACTCTCCAGTTGCACCAGCACTCAAAGGCTTCTTCAGCGCTATGTGGCATTACCCGGTTAATACCAAAAATAGACAAAAACATATTCCATAAGTCAGTAGCAACTTTACTATGTAAAAATAGATGGTTGTTAGATTCAAGGTTCTGTTGGTACATGTAGCATCTATTGACAATCTGGAAGCCTCTTTTCTTGAGATTGTCTTGTGTGAGGCATGCTTGATATAGGGCTGTCCAGCTGAAACATATGATCTTTGTTGGGAGCCTAGTCTTCCATACCAGCTTTCATGGGCAGTTTTCAATCAATCAATTAGGAGCATATGAGTTTGCACTTTGCATAGCCTGCTTTCACCGAGTATTTACCATCCTTGGCACTGCCCCACGCTAACTTATCTGCTGTCTGGGCATTCATCATGTGGCCTTCTAGTCTGGAAAGTAGGTTGGTCACTTCTTCAATTTCCCATTCTTGTAGGTTCCTTCAGAATTGCATGCCGCCAAGTGTTGTTCCCAATTCTGAGAGATGGAGGAGGTAGACTCACATGCTATCTGAAAGAGGCTTGGGAATCCCTCGATCTGGATAGTGTTGTCAGCCATCTATCCTTCCAAAACCTGATATGCATACCATTGCCTGCTGTAAGCTGGGTGTTTTGAAAGAATTCTTCTTTAAGTTTGTATATGCTCTTACATAGGCCAACACCATGTGGGGATCTAGACAACTTGGAGCACCGATGATTTTGGACTCCATGTTTTGCC